TATATTATATTTTCAGTAAATATCAGAATTAGGAGAAAAACCTTCTACTTTTCCATCTCTATGAACAAAATATGGAAATGAAGAAATACTCAAGTTCAAAATAATCCATATTCATCTTTCTTAAGAGTTTATTTTGAAATCAATTGTTTTTTTTTCGTGGAGTCCCACTAAATTCATTTGCAAAGATGAAAAGAAGAAAGTTAAGTTTTTTCATACAGTAATATTGTCAATGGATTATTTTATCGAAATATATCTGTAGGTAACGAATTATCATATGTTTTTTTATAGAAAATATGGACATAATGAAAAGAGAATTTTAGTGAATATAATCGAACCTCATGTACTCTAATTCAGTAATAACCCCATACATCTACTACAACTTGATTAATATTTCTTCATTGATGAATTTAGCGTTATATTCAAATGAGCTTTCGAAAACAAATTGAGCTTTAATAGCAAATTTGAATTTGTGTTCACCGCTGTATTCATCAAATACCCAGCTTACTGTTCAATCAAGTTCCTGAATCCCCATTTTTAATTATAAATTATTTGAACTTGACGGCTCTCAGCAATGTGGTGAGTGATAAACTTGTTTTCCTGTAACGAAATGTGGCAGAAACAAATTATGAAACGTAAAATAGCTAGAATCAATTAGCTAGAGAGACGAAAATAGAAAAGGTGATCTCAGGTCACGCGTTCATATTCAACAAAACCACAGTTTCTGCACCCCATAATTATAACATGTCTTTATATGAGTTGTATCAACCAAATAGGCATCATCAGAAGATGTTTATTTTCTAATGAGTTCTGCCTGCTTATACATTCACAGGAGAATGAATTGAATGAACTAACATGAGTTTCGTTCAATTCACAACACAACAAAGTTTTTGTTTCGTGGTTGAAATTAGATGATTTTAATGTATTTCCACGTATTAAAACCGAAAGTGACCATAAAAATTATATATTAGCTCTTGTTTTCAAGATATAGTATCATTATATTATATATATGTATACATTGTTATTTCCGTTTTTATCACCCCAAAATTAGTAGAAATTGACTAATTTAGTGTAGGAAACATTCAAAAAATATTTTTTTGTTGTGTTGTGATCGATAATGTTATTCACATTCACAAGTTGATGAAGCAGGCATGATGGCTGATATTTCTGAAAACACATCATGGTTCAAAATGTGTGGGTTTATTTCTTCCACAGCAACAATGATGAAAAATATTTTTTACTATTATAAAAAAATGACTGTAGAGTGAACAGGCATAGCGCATTCCCTGAATACTAAAAATCAAGTCATTTATTCTTTTGATTTTCGTACGTGTTCCAAAAGTTTTTTCATTTCACCGCTTTTAAAAACCTCATTATATTTAGACACTTCATAAATTATATTTTTCTCACTTCTACATTATCTACTAATATTCTGAAGTTTTCAATTCCTCCCTTCAATATTGAGTTTTACAAACTCATATGGAGCTCAATATTGAACTGATTCTATTCATTTTTTCTGCAACAACACCGTTATATTTCTGTTTACTATATAAATTAACGGACAATCCAACAATAATGCTAGTCACTCATTGCTAGTCTTCTGTTGTTCTTGATATCACATCAGTTAATCCCTTCAGAACTGTATACTTGAATTTAGTGAGACCTGCTGTTGCTATATTGAAATGACTCTCCAGTTTGTCTATACATTAGATCAATTTCGTATTGACTCTACTACTATTCACATATTGAATCCAACTATTTAGAATAATTTTGAAAAATTCCATACCTGACCGGGCACTTTCTACCATCTATCTAACTACGCTATCTTTCATTGTTACTATATATCCAATTAACTGCTGGACTAACGAATTGACATTTCTGTGCTTTTTTTTCATGTCTATACCTCCATTGTTGATCTAATTATCTCAGTAACTTCTTCTACTATGTTTCCTGATGTTGGTATTCTTTTGAATTTTGTATTCTCCTAATTTATCCTTGAGATTTTGGTTTTGCAACTTTTTGTTCTACTGAAATGTCTTCCATTCAACTTTTTTTTTCCTGGATTGCCTAGACACTTTCCATTTCATATCATCATTTCATTTCAACCTAAGCCTAGCCGTCCATTGGAACCGAATAACAGACTGCTGGCAAAATAACCGAAAGACCATCCATTGGAGCAGACGTTTTGCCGTCAGTTACCAGTTGAATATCTCCAGCTACGGGCTATTAAAATGGATGTGGAGGAACTGATGATACATTTAGATACCTCTTACTATGTAAAGAAACGGAGGCAAAAAAAACACAAAAATACTGGATCAATCCGGTTCTTGCAGAAAGGAGTCCTTTTCGAAGCAATCAGATCGAAAAACAGAAACTCACAGAAAATATTTCAAAAAGGTTGCACGTAGTTTCTTTTAACAACTACACTCGTTAGACCAATGGTTCCCAACCTGTGGTCCATGGACCACCAGTGGTCCGCAGAAGTCAAAATATGGTCTGCGAATGATTTCAAATTTAGCGGGTGGTGAGCCGTCGGTCGCCGGGCAGTGTGTCCATGATCGTTACGTTAGAGATCTTAAAAAAATGAAACTCGGGTCTAGTGATACGAGATTTGCAACATCGGAAAAACCATAAGTATCGTCGCGTCGTTTGAGATTTCTAAATTAATAGCACAATCTAAAAAACCTAACACAGTCTGAGAAGCACTCGTGAAACTGTGTTTGATCAAAGCCGTCGAAGGCAAATTGTTGTCAACTACTTGTATTTGTTCGCTTTTTAGACGACGACAAAATAATTAAAGAGAAAATATTGATTTCACGGGAACTGGAAACAACATCGAGAGGTACTGACGTCATGAACTCAATATCGGAATATTATGAGAAACATAATCTTATGTGGAATAAACTCGTTGCCCTCTGTACTGATGGTGCTCCGGCAATGTTGGGATCACGTTCCGGGTTGATGACGTTAATAAAACAGAAATATCATAAGGTAATAACAACGCACTGTATCATACATCGTCAGGCGTATGCTTCTACGACTCTTACTGAATGCCTTAATGAATACACTGAAAATGGCCCATAAAAGTTGTAATTACTATCAAAAGCAGCGAGTTGAATACAGGCCTTTTTAAAAAATTATGCACTGAAATGGACTCTGACCATGAAGCACTTCTCTTTCAATCAGAAGTTCGATTGCTATCGAAAGGTAATATGTTGGGAAGATTATATGAACTGAGAGCAGAGGTTCAGGTTTTTTTGGTTGCCAAAAAAAATGGAAGATTTGTTGAAACAGTTTACTAATCCGGCATGTCAAATGAATTTGATTCATCTTGTGGATTTTTTAACACACTTGAATAAATCAAATATACAACTGCAAGGTTCCGGAAATAAATAATTGGAAAACGTCACAAATATATTCATTTTTGAAGATAAACTTCGCACTTTTATTTGCTTCAGTTATGGTTATGTAAAATTGAAGAAATTGATTATTCTATTCTATTCAGTTCATTTTATTATAACTATTTACAATGTAAGTATGTATGTACCACTATGTAAGTCTTACATAGTGGTCCCTGCTAACAAGAATAATATAAAAGTGGTCCTGGTTGGGAACCCCTGCGTTAGACAGTTCGGCCGAATGAGACCGTAAAATCCCATTTTTATCGGGTAGGACCGGCGGACAGACGTGAATGACCGAACAGTATGGTCTAGTGGACAAGCTCCAATGCTTTCTCTCGAATGGGATCATTAGGTCGTACCCGGCCGTACAACGACCGAAGAGTGTTCGGCTGAAAACGGTTCCAGTGGACGGTCGGGCTAAAGAGTTCATATTTGCTGGTTGCTCCACCTCAAAATTTCCCGCGAATCAAAACTGTTCTCAGCCAAAGCTAAAAAAAGATTTTGTCTACGGTGGTAATCCTAGTGAATCCTAGGTATCAGCGACAACTGAATATTCACGAATATTTTATGTCTATTGGTGAAATATACGTTGTATATCACATCTTTTCCTCTCAGTTTTTTGACTTAGGCGATTCTTTTATTTTTGATGTTCTGTAAAATTTCATTGACGAATTTTGGATCAGAACGACTACCTTTCTATAGAGTTGGCACTGTTTTCAGGAATCAGTTTTTATCAGGTACTGACAAACATGGTGCCAACAAAAATGCATCCTTATTTACGTTCTTTCATCAATCTAATCACCAACACTACGTGATTATAAAATCTATGTAGATTCATGTAGATTTTCATGTCTCTGTCAGTTAAGTTCTCGGTTTCAGAAACATATGACTAGTTGTTGATTGGTGAAGTTTTTGGGTAGAAAATTCAAGCCGCCTATGGATTTTATAGTGCAGATTTGAAATGAAAACATTATGATTGTGTGGATAATAATGATCCGACAGACTTCGTCCATTTCAGTACAGTTTTGAATTTTCTTTTTCTGTCTAACCTTGATTTCTATTGAAGTTGATAACCTCCTCTCATTTGTGGGAGATACTGAAATCTCCTCCCGGAAAAGATTGGTTTTATCTCATTCTTTCACTTTGGGGTTTGAAACTACTGTAACTTCATTCGTCTGTCATAGATGGTGAATTACTGTATTTCAAACTTGCTCAATAATTACGGTGATCGGATACTATTCTTTTTGATGAGTATATTTTACTAACATTTCATGTTGACTCAATGAGTTAAATGATTTTTGAAAACTTGATGATGTTCTACAAGTAAGTATACATGGATCGAAAAACGTTCTCATATAACGAAAATGAATCTAAATGTTAAAATAATCTCTGCAAATTGGATATAATCTGGAATAATTTCATATAGATGATCAAAAACTTTACTTTTTTTTCAATTCAACATATTAATTTCTCAAATTAAAATTTCTAACCAACTATTTCGCTTTCAGAAGAAATAAGAAAAAAATTCCGAATGGATTTTTCCCTATTATGAACAGGTTTTTTTGGAATAATACAGACTTTACTCGTTAGACTAATACTCACCAGATATTTTATATTGGACAAAATCATCACGCGCCGTTACGAAATCATAAAATGATGCTAGTATCACATTTATTACAGCAATCACGACTACACATCTGAAAAAGTCAATAACAAAAAATAATATGAGTGTATGAGAATTTCATATTTTTTATTAATACTCACATAAAAGCTACATCACTTGATTCCAAAGGCACTATCTCTTCAACCTGACAACTGTTTTGGTCAACCTCTACATCAATTGTTAAATTAAGTTTGTTATTCAGGTCAGTAATACGTTCTTTCAAAGTTTGTTCTAATTCTTGATCTGAACAGCTAGATGGCAAGCAGAAAGAAAAATGTAATTCATTCCTGGGACTTTTGGATTTGTCATATAGGTAATCCTGAAAACATAGTTGAATAATTGATTGGTTGGAAAACTTGTTCAGTTGTATTCCCAAAAACGAATCAATCCACAGAAGATTTCATTTTTTATAGTAATTTATTGCTATCTCCCAAGTTATAGAAGTCACAAGATCGATCGAATTGAGTAAGAGTTCCATATAGGATTACTTTCCACTTGTGAAGACACATCGAAATAGACAGGTCCGACTCTGAAGGTTTTGGAAGTAGGCAGAGAGTGCCCGATTCATTGACAAATCTCAAAATACATATATTACATTGGATTCAAAACCAGACGAAACAATTGATGAAGGTGTTGAAATATTTTAATTAATCAATGCATGATAAAACTAATGATAAGTATAATGAAACAATGTTTTTAGTTTTTTGGTGAGCCCTATGAGAAATAGGCGCTTAGCTATAAAACAAAACTATATCAATCATTTGTGGAATGAATTCCTTATGAGACGAGAAAAGACATGAATCAATTGCATATTTTTTGGAATATCCATCAATTTGAGTATCTGTTTTGAATTTCCATCTTGTGATGATCGTGTGATCTATCCGGAAGTACTATTAACAAAATTCGTAGAAACTCACGAATATCGCGACTTGGAATATTATATCAGTAAGAAACTCTGGTGCAATAATTCAAATCAAAGATAGTGATTATTCAAATAATTTCAAAAAATACGCGATGACCAAGATTTTTTAATAAGTTCATTCGAAATAATTGAACCATATCCATAAAGAAATTTTAGAAATATAGGATAGTAATGAAAATATTTTCGAGAGAAATGAAGTATTTTTCCGTTACCTTGTTATTGAAACAAATAAAACTTCTTTTCGAATATAATTTGAAATAAGAAGACATAGATGAAGGATACAGAGTGGATTAGTGAAAACAAAACAAAGTAATTTTCTCATAAATTTCATCCGGAATAAAATCGTTCGGACCTCTCGAATATTATTTCAGATCTCAAATGGTATCAGTGGTTAAGCAATACCTCATTAGAAAAGTCGTTGATTCCTCTTTTTGGAACCTCACTGGCTTGTTTCTCTTTTTGGAATCTCACTGGTCTGATCAGAAAACTTCAATGCTGGTAATGAAAAATTGAGCGTAGTTTTTGTTGCTCTTTCTTAACAAGTATTTGAAAATCCATTCAACTACATTCAGAGCGTGACTATTTCGGGTTATCATTTCGCTCAAAATGGTTAATTCAACTGCGGAAACAGTAGGAAGGTAGGTGCACTTATACTAAAGCACTCTTTTTCAATGCCCAAACCAAAAAAAAACGTTGAAAGTACGCGATTGAACTCGGAAAATTCAAAGATATACAGAAATGGTGGCAAATCGAAAGAAGGATCTCCGAAGAAAATAATGACTTACAAAGCTATAGAAGTTGCTGTGTTAGGCCATGTCAGATTCAGCCTACGGTAAATAACAGGCAATCATCTAAAATTTCTGGAATGAATCGTACAAATATTCGAAGAATTCTGAAATCCCATGAATTCCACCTCTATAAAATTAATTTTGTCCATCAGTTGAATGAAGATGACTTCGACAGACGCGAGACTTTTAGAATTTTGCAAGTTGTTGTTGTTGTGAACGGGAAATAAATAAATCAAATGTGTTATTCAACATTTGTTTTTCAGATGAGTATTCGTTTTTCGTGGACTAGACTGTTATTCTTCACAACTGTCGGTATTAGTCTGACAACACTCATTCCTTGAAATTCACAGACAACATCCTGGGAAGCTAAATACAGGAGAAATGTTCTTCCAACGGTTACAAGATAATGTCAATCCGGCATTAATAGACATTCTTGAACATAATGATCGCTAAAATGAAAATTAATTGACATTTTAACAAGATGAGGCATCTTCCCACTATAATCTTGGTGTTCGTAAGTATTTGAATGAAACCTTTCTTGTTCGGTGGACCGGCCGAAGAAAATCAGTGAAGTGGCAAATCCATCAGATTTGGAATTGTTACATCTAGAAAACTGCCGTAACAGTACACATGAAATGGTTCAAAACATCCGGGAGCACTTTGAACAGAACTTTTATCACTCGAGTCATCTGTCGATCCCATACATAGCGTCTCCGTAAGCGTAAGGGGTGATATTCATGCTTATACAGTGTCACACATAAAGTTCGCGACATATGAAAGTTTTTTTATTAATAGATTTAATGCAAATTTGACTTCGCAGTTAGTTTGTACTTGAAAAATGAGTAAAAAAAAGCCTTTCCTTTTATTATATGTCATTCTAAACCTGTCAAATCTGAGGTTTTTTCAAAAATCCCCAAGTTTTTTGGGATACTTTGAAAAACTCCAAAGAAAAAAGTTGATAAATTTACAATTTCATACGTTTGCTCAAAATTTGGACTCTCTTATGTCACTTTTCGAATCTTTTGCTCTATAGATTCGAACGGAACGTGATTCAAATTTCATAATTCTGATAAATATGAGACTTCAATCTCATATTTTGACCAGAAAACATCCGCATTGGCCTGTTACCAGAAAAATAAATGAATACACCTCCAAAAATTCGTCTTTGTTGTTGCAAAGTTCATCTAGATTTTTCATTTCATTGTTTGACTGTTTCCGATTTTCAATGTCTGGACGTTGATATATCAGTAATCGAATAAACTTGCATCTCTTCATTCTTATTACACTCGTATCCATTTTTTTAGTAGATTTATATCCCATTTACTGCAGATAAGTTCGAACTATTTTGATACAGTTTACACCCAATAGTGTGACTCTTGAATGTAAACTATTAGATGTAGTTATCGAGAAAATAATAATGCTTTTTGAGGTAATTTGATAAACCTTCTTCTCTTTATTTTCACAATTTGACCTGTAAATAACATCAAACCAAAATAACTGTAACCAAATTCACAACTAAACATCATAACATCCATTGTAGTGTCCGACCGAAAGTTCGGTTTCGGTTTCGGTCGAGTTTCGGCAAAAAAACTGGTTTTGGTTTCGGCGGCAAACCTGCCGAAACTACGACCGAAACCGAAACTGCATTCGGTCATGTTCGGCTCCTTAAATTTCATACAAGTAATTTTTTGTTTAATATTTTTGAAAACCCATCAATAATATTCAATAGAAGGATCTACACCTACTCAAATAAACACCTCACCTATTTTAAGTATTATTAAAGGTGCAATTAATATTTTTTTCTTGATTGACCTTTTTAAGTTGATTATCAACAAGTAAAAATGTCGTGCATAACGTTGTGATTTAAAGGTAAAAAAATAAAGACTGACTAATTGCAATAACGTTTTCTTTATTTTTCCCTCAAAACATAATCCTTGCAAGGAAGTTTCGGTTTCAGCCGAAACTGAAACCGTTGCCGAAATTCGTTTTCGGTTTCGGTTTCGGCCGTAAAAACCAGTTTCGGTCGGACACTAATTCATTGATTTATCTCAATAATCTCATAAAGAACTCGAATTCATCACAGTATACCGTCGTTCCCGTTCTATACAAACTTCAGTCCTTTCATTCACAGACTTTGTGGCATTTTTAATAAATAGGGGATTTATGTTACCACAACACTTCCTAATGATATTCTCTAAATGTTGTTTGTTTGCAAATGGTCTATGCTTGTACACTTTTCGTATCAGATAATCCCATATAAATAAGTCAATCGGAGATAAGTCCGGTGATCTTGGTGGCCAATAATATTCCTAATTTCGTCCTAACACTTTGCCCCCAAACATCTGACTGAGAAACTATTTCACTTCTACCGTTTAGTGGATCAGTGCCCCGTCAAGCTAATATCACAAATTTTCTCTGTCACTTGGAGACAGACTATCCAAAACCTCAGACAACTGATTCATAACTGATTAACAATAAAAACTGATACACCTTTCCACATCTTTCCTGAAAAGAAAATAACATACTTAGGAATAATTCTAGACACCAATTTGAAATGGGACCTCCATGTTAAATATACCGTCAATAAATTGAGGACCATTCCATTCAAATTCAGGAAACTTAAAGAACTCCTTCTAAAATATCTCAAAACTTTATACTACTCGCTTGTGGAAAGTCATATCCACTATGGAATAGTAGTTTGGGGAGGAGCATTAAATAGTCATATTTCTCGAATTGAAATTATGCAAAGGCGTTTTCTTAAATTAATATTCTCTAAAAATGGTAGGTATCCCTCTGATAGATTATATATCGAAACTCATCTGTTAGACATACGACAGTTGTATTTTTCATGCTCTAGCATTAAATATCATACAAATAGACATACGGCATAGCTTCCTTCACATCAGTACCACACCCGCCAAAAAGATCAGTATACTACACCCCTAATGGTCAGAGTCGTTACTCAAAGATCATTTACTTACTTTGCGCCTAAACTCTACAACCGAATTCCTGAAAATATAAAATCTATCTCAAATATCAATCACTTCAAAAAAGAGTTGAAAGAGCAGTTTCTCCAAAGTCAGAGACTTGAACTTCTACGTCTATTTGACTAGATGGGAAAAACCATACGTACCTTTGCTATATTGTCCACTTACAATTCTGTAATACATATGTGTTCGAATATATATGTATATATGGGCACTGTCGTTTTGTTAATATATATCACATCCATTTTCAACAACATCCATATCGATTTCAACATGTTTTTATATATTATTACTAGTACGCGTATTTTACAATTTGTCAATTTAGTTTTATGTTTGTATGATTTTATATTTGAATAATATTATATGTCAAAACTGACAACTTTTTATATTTATACTTATATTTGTGAATTTATATTATCTTATGTGTTTTTCATTTCATATATTAAGTATTTTATTCTCATATGCAAATCCCTTTCATATAATTCATTCTCATACTTCAATATTCATCATAATATTTAATTTTTAGTGTTGTTTTTATTTTTATCGTTGTTTTAACAAATTTATATTTATCATATATATTTTTTGCCTTTGGATATCCTTTTCACCACATAAAAGCAACATCTGATGTTTTTGTGGTTTCTATGATGTTTATTCAACTGTATGTATTACTTTAGTTATTTATTCTTGTGATTTGAATCTGAATAAAAATTATTATCAGTATTATTAAATTTCTGTACATGTCAGCGTTCAAACTTTCTCTAAAAAATATAGTCCAATTATTTATTTATGTAAGAACTCACACCACATATTTGTCTCGAATGAATATTGTTCACGGCATTCTATTGCCAAATTTTGATTGAATTGTTCTTCTTCATTATACTAAATTAGATTATGTGGTTTCTTGTCCATAGACCCAGTTTCTTTGAATGTTTTCAATAACCTTCCCATGGTACTAAAGTGAATATTTCTTCCTGGTGATTGAAAATACAAGCAACATCTCGATATGGCATATTCTAACCACATAAAAGAACGATTTCCACTTTGTCTTGTGTGGATAACATTATACATAAAACGTATTTACGAAAATCTGTACACAAATAACTTGATTTATTTTACGCAATAATTTGACATTAACGAAAAATAAAAATTTGTTCCAAAAGCCCTACTAAGGGAAAATTTTATTTCGATTTGATCTGTTTTCTTTTATTCCCGACATGTTGCATTAGTTTTGTAATGTTTCAAATCACGAAATTCTTTATCATGTTTAGTTCAAGTCGCTGAAACGAAAGTCATTTGAATAGTTATGAAACTGTTGGTCAGTGTTTAGTTTACAGAAAAGTATATTTCGGATTAGTTTGTAACTGAGTTATTGGTCAGAAAAATAAGCAGAGTAGATACAAATCTATTAAAAAAAAATACGAGTATAATAAGAATTGAGAGAAATACGTTTCTTCGATTACTGACATATTAACGTCCATACATTGAAAGTCCGAATCAGTTTAATAATGAAATGGAAAAACTAGATGAACTTTGCAACATCAACGACGAATTTCTAAAGGTGCTTTTTTTTCTGCTAACAGTGTTCAGAATATCATAACTTTTTATATTTTGTGTAGACGTTCAAGATCTGGGAATATTTACTATCTTGTATTTGTAGGCGAATGTTTTTTCGTTATCGAACAACTGCATCACCCTTATGTATCTAGGTAGATTTCTGCCCCTTGCCACATGTTGGGTTTTAGATATTTGAAAGGGCGTCAATAATAACATTTTGTGCTATTCAAGCAGAGTAAAATATCATACAGTCCACGACGGTTTTGTCTTAATAATCTAAGAAAGTGAACAATGCTGGAAGACAGCCAACACTGGGGTTTTACTTGTTTAGAATAATTGGAGTTCGAATTCAAGGGGATAAACCCCAACAAACAGGCTAATGCGGATATTTTTTGGGACATTGAAGTCTCGTATTCATCAAAATTATCAAATTTGAATCATGTTTCATTCTAATCCATTCTGCGAAAGATTCGAAAAATTTAAAAAATTGGAAAAAAGTCGAAGTGACAGTAGAGAGTCCAAATTTCGAGCAGGATATAAAATTGAAAATTGAGCAACTTCTTTTGACATTTTTCGAAATTTCCACATAAAAACTGATTTTTTGAGGATTTTCGAAAAAAATGACAAATTTGACAGGTTTAAAGTAGCACATGACAAAAGAAACGAGGCTGCTTTTTACTCATTTTTCAAGCACAAACTAAGTGAGAAGTAAAATTTTCATTTTCTATATTAAAAAAACCATGTCGCGAACTTTATGTGTTACACTGTATGTATTAAAAGTGTAATATAACGAGTAAAGAATTACGGTAAACTGTCAAAACTGTCTTCAAAAGTATTTCCATACTTTTGAAGATGTTGACTACTAGTGTCAGTGAAACGTTGGGAAATCTCTCACAATGGACGATGATCAACAATTCCGAAAAATGTCATGAAATATTTCAGCTATAGCCTATATTGAATACCAGTCTCTAAATCACTTCAATTCACTGGCTAAACTACTGAATGTAACGTAGAATATACAGTGCGAGTCTCTAACATGGAACAAATTCACTGAATCAAAGGTGTTGTTTCTTTCGGGAACATGCTCGGACACGTCGATTAGTATTTTGAAGTGTCGTTATTTTCATGCAAAAAAAAATATACAGTGTGTCTCAAATATGAAATATGACTTCATCGATGATTTTTTAAATGACAACCCTGTTTTTTAATGACTGTTATTAAAGGGTTCAACAAGTTGCACATGCCTGCCAAATTTCAATTTTTTACTCCTTTTCCTTTAAAAGATATTTAACAAACATTATCTAATTCAAAAAATGAATGAAAAAAATGAATGAAGTCTTTGAAAAAACAAGGTTCTCATTTAAAAAAATTGTCGATGACATCATATCACATATTTGAGACACACTGTATAATTTTCTTTCGCATTGAAATAAAGGCAATTCAAAATACTAATCGACGTGTGCGAGCATATTTCCTAAAGAAACAACACCTTTGATTTAGTGAATTTGTTCCATGTTAGAGACTCGCACTGTATTTATTTATGTAAGTCAAAGATTATTGAAAACATTAAAGTGAAAATGTTGAGCTCCTTCTATAATTTGTGATGAATGGGGTTGATAAATTCATACCGCATAGAATTTCAAAATCGAATTCTAGATTTTACTGGGCCTGTATTGACTTCTGGAATTCCAGAAAAGAGACTAAATATGCGGTAGTATCATCTGTCAAATACTCACCTTGACTTTTTTCCAAACCGAAATATTGAAATAGGATTCATAATTGTCCAACACATAGTTAATATTTGCTTGTTTATTTTTCATGGTTGTGCCGCCTAGAGCGTTCACCTCCAAAGTGAATTTGGCCATACAATATTTTCCAGAAAATTTTGATTCATCATAAGGCACCTTGATTCTTAGACATTCATCGTAATTTCCAAAATCGTAGCCCGAACCATACAGAAATCCAGTCGGAAATTTTGAGGTCGCATCGAACACTGTAATAAAAATAATAATCAATCGGACAGTCAAGAAATGTATGGTTTTATTGCCCTATCAATCCTTATTTCGATGGAGATATTTCTGATGAGCGGGCTAGACACCGTTATCAATAGATTGTTATAGAGTTTACTATCAACATTGATTTCAGAACTGTTATTGCCATTTGAAAAACAAAATGAGTCAGCGATAGATACCGTGAGACAAAACTGAATGAATGTGATTTCAGTGATATTTCTTGGAAAAGGCTTTTGATTCGCCTAAAATTTCTGCTCTTCTTTTCAAAATTTGTTCAGAATTTCTGAAAAATTCAGAGTAGAATAGATTTCAATAACAAACTCTAATTATCATCTTGATGTTAAAGAAGAACCATTTCGGAACTATTTTCATATTATGCCATTCACCGAGTAGCAGATTTTCGAGTATCCAAAAGAGAGAGAGAAAGAGAGAAAGAATATTATTTATTGTTATACGAAAATATCTTGTTATAAATTTTTATGCCTTCGTATATAATTGACGTTCTGGTCAGGTTCAAGGAAGGTATAGATAGAGATAGATTGAGATTATATGCCCTACTTTGTCTGTAGTATACCTGGGGATTATTTAATTATTCATTTTTCATTATTTAATTTCCATTTTGAATTGTTTCCTTCAATGTTGAAAAATCTGTTCCATGCCACAAGATGGTTGTATCATCAGCAAAAAGGGTGAATTTGCCTTGAACATTTGGAAGCGCCAGATCATCCAAGTATAACAAAAAGAGTACTGGTCGCAAAACTGACCCCTGTGGAATACCGCAATTAATGTAACCGCATTCCGGTGATTCTTGTCCGAAGAACACTTTTTGTGTGGATTCTCCAAGCAGGACTGGAACCAGTTGAGGGCACATCCTCTGAATCCGTAATATTCAAGTTTTTGCAGCAATATTGTGTGATTCACGCAGTCAAATGCTTTTGTTAAATCACGAATCTTTACAAGTTGTTCGATTATTTTCGATAGGGTCGTTAGCAATGATATTGAGTGATAATTTGATAGAAAATTCAGAATGGCATCTTTTCATTTTTTTTATTTTGAAATAATCTGTTATCTCCTAAACTTTCTCTCAGGTACGATTTGATTACTTTGTCCATCCATGAGTTATTATACTGAGGGTTTTTCATGTAAGTACCCAATATTTCAACTTAGTTCAATGACTGTACCTACTTTTTATACAAATAGTTATTGTTTTTATACGACTAATCATTTTTTTCAGGTACCTCAGTACTTGCACATGTATTAACTACATTTTAAAATCAAATGACTATTCCTTCTTAGAGCAAGACGAAAGTAAACACACATATACAGTACTGTAGTAAATACCCCTCCTGCCCCTTAACTTTTGAACGAAATAAGACATAAGGTCGGAAAAAATAACGTGAAAAGTACTATTTGATGAGGAAGAAAATAGTGTTGCATCACTCGTCCTCAATAGGGCACTACCATTTATGGTTTTTCCAAATGGAAAGGGAAGTTTTGCGGATGCCTCATAAAATAGGAACTTCAATTCTCTATCCAATACTTCCGCAACTAGCCGTTCACTCAGGAACTGGTCGTTCCCGTTCGCAAACAAACGATGAATATCGAAATTTGAAAAAATTGTATTCAATAATCAATTCAATTAATGTTCAAAATGTTCACCATTCTCTTCTTTTTGTATTCACGACTGCTGAAACTGAACTGCGGTTGTATATCGTACACTTCACATGTCAGTTGTCTTCTCAAAGATATATAGAGGCGTTATACCTATCAGGTGATCTAGTGAGCTCTTCTAAGAGATCACGTCTGTTTGTTTACCGGTTTGGATAATTGAAAAACCCGAATGGGTTCAATTATTCAATACGATCCTGCAAGATGGGGATGGTTCATGAGTGGCTAGGTAACAGTTATCCAAACCAGTGTATAATCGAATGACCTGCCAAAAATGAAAAAGTATAGGATAGAGAATTAGAATACAATACCTATTGGACCAGGTATCACAAAACACTCATTACCAGTGAAAAAATGATTTGGTATTACTCTCCCGACGACGAGTGATGCAACACTATTCACTTTCTCATCAAATAGTACGGCCGCACTTTATAATTGGCAATTAACGCGGCAGGCAAAAACAACAAACACCCAGATTGGCGCCAGAACCAGAACTGGCCTAATGCTCCTGATTGGAAGAATATTTGTAATATGAAGTAACGTTATACCTGTCTTGCTTATGGTTGAGCTCTCTTCCTCACGGTTGAATTATTTTTATGTTTATGTATTTTTATGGCCTCTTTGAATAGTCTTGGATAGTACATTTGGTTTCATCAAGGGCTTGCCAAAGCAATGTCATGGCTACCTTCTGAGAGAACGTGTTCTGCAATTGCAGATTTATCTGTTTGGCCATAACGGCAAATTCTTTCATTCTCAGTCAGGTGCATTTCAACGCTCCTTTTCGTGGTTCCAATGTATAAAGAACCAGAACTACTCTCCTGGGACACTTAAATTCTTTTATTCTCAGTCAGGTGCGTTTCAACGCTCCTTTTGGTGATTCCAATGTATGAAGAACCACAACTACATTCCTGGGACACTTAACAGATCCCTGGGGTCTGTAACCCACAAGACCGATAGAGAATAATCTCATTTTCTATCAGTCTTGTGGGTTTCAAACTGGTTCTAACCTCATGTTTTTCAAGTATTTCTCCAATTATCCCCATCAGACCGCTTATGCAATGTAGAAAAATTCATCCATTGGCCGTTCGCTTCAGTTCCACCGTGAAGTGTTTCTGTGTGGGTTTTAAGACTTGGTTGATTTCGGATGACACATTTCCTAATTCTTCAAAAAACCGATTCCCCGTTTCTTCCTTTCTCTTTTTTCTCCATTGTGAACTGGATTTTTCGGAATCCAGAAATTCAAATATCCCAGAAAGGTTGCAGATTCCACTTCCCCGTGACTCATAACCATGAAGGTATCATCAACATATCGTAGCCGGGTCGGTCCGGCGAATGTTTTAGAGTTGATCTTAACATTGAATATGTTCAATTTCAATATCAAAATGTTGAGCAATGTTCAATGTTAACATCAACATACTTTCAGAGGGATGGAAAGTTATATGAGCAAAAAAAAGAAGTTGCAATGGGAAGCCCACTAAGTCCAGTAGTTGCCAACTTCTATATGGAACAATCCAAACGATGAGCTCTAGACCTTCCTGCTGGCTACGACATATTTGATGGTAACGGCAGATACTTGATGAAAATCCATAGCGTATTCAAAAAACACTTTATTGTGAGATTTTCACTAAACGGTTGCCCGCAGTAGCAGAAGAAACATCAGGAATGGAAACATGCAGACCACGGGTAATAAACCCGGAAACATCCAACAATTTTCAATTCAAATTATGTTGAGGGTAATATGACTATCATGCAGTATAGAACGTCTAGTTCACGTCTTTCTAAAGGAAAGTCTTATAAGCAATATTTCTCTCTCATATGACAGTTTTTATTTTTTATGAAGTGAAGAATGAAGAATTCATGGGAAGTTCAGGCGACTGAACAGTTCAATCGAAGTACTAGTTTTCGGGGTAAATGCCCCATGATCAGTACCGGGCATGGTCGCTTCAGATCGGTGTGAACCGTCTGAGTATCACGACTAAACCCCCTTCCATGCCCCCTCCAGGGTTGAGTGCCATGAATTAAAAGCTTCGCCCCACAATTATTTTGCGAGGAAAACCTAATACTCCACTCCATCCACTCCCGTTCTCCGAGCGGTCCTCAACTTACTGATGGGCACTTCAGCAAGATTGACATCTGACCTCTTTTGGTCGAAAGTCAGCCTTTAGGTGCTATTCTTTCGCCACGACCAAACACCTGCACGTCGTCTTGATTTCAGACAGGTTGTAGCCTGGCTCCCTTACCCTTTGGACTGATGTTTTCCAGAAGGACAAACGGGTCATAACTGATGGTGAGTGTTGATGGTATGACGGCATGAATGTCCTCAGACATCAGTACCGCCCTTCACGGGATACCCCTACCTGGCTGGTGTGGGATGGATGAAAACATTGTTCATCTTTCAACGGAGGACATAGGGGCCTCATTCGACAGAGTGTCGGGGCCTTCTATATCGGAAGGGGTCGTCTACAGTATAATCCATAGCTTCCTTGACTAATGAGTTTTCATGAGTTTCTGCACCATCAAAAACTCTCTGATTTCTCGACTGAATGGACTGCCGAATGGAAGGCAGCTGCAAATCTCTGCGGATGGCTTAATTCCGCAAGAACCAAGGAGCATTCACAATCATCCCCATCAACTTGTTTTGCAATACCTCCAGAATGGAGATATTATATTTCGCCGCTTGTCCCCAGACGCCTGAAGCATACATGATGACAGGCTTGAACATCGTGTTATAGATGTTAATCTTGTTTTTGAGACTCATTTTAGATCTTCTGTTGATCAGAAGGTACAGACGTGCTATCCGACCCTCGATCTTTGATTTGACGCTCATTATGTGCGGGATCTAAGTGAGCCTACGGTCTATTAGAAGGCCGAGGTACTTTACTCGCGCTTGCCAGTCAATATCCCTTCCAGAGATTCTCACTTTTCTGGCCGGAGAAGATTTCAGTCTCGGTTATCACCGGTTATCCAAGTTCACTTGGATCTTACAATCAAGGTACCAGCGCTCGAGGTCGTCCAATGTACGTTGCATGTAGACGACGCCGAGCTCCCAACCCATGGAAGATGAGAGGAGAGCCGAAGCATCGGCGTACAGAGATCTCTTCACACGCTCGGGCCTCGGAAGGTCACTGGTGTGAAGTGAGTACAACGTCGGAGAGAGCACGGCCCCCTGTGGCACTCCAGCAAGGATATCTCTGTTATCAGACAGAGATCCCTCTACTCTAACCTGAAATGTCCTGTATTTCAGGAAAGACCCAATCCACCGGATGAGGCCCCGGATGAGACAGCTGTTTCAGCCTATTGGCATCGTCAGTAC